GTGTTCATTTGGTACTAAACCAGGACTTAAAAGCATCATTTATAACTTTCAACTAAGTCGAACTTGGTTAAACTCAATCACGTCTTTTCCAAGCACAACATATTTGAAATAGTAGTCCAACTCAATATCTAGACTTTTTATGGTGGTATTTTGTCTTATTGAGGGATTCATTCCATTGAACGACAGATAATGAACTGGATAACTATTTAAAATGGTGTTAGTATACCTCATATCAGTACTTCAATTGAAGTGGCTCGCTTCAACATTAGATTGCTAGATTCTACTCCTCTCCAATTTGTGATCTTATCCCCGACAGCTAACTGGACCTTCCGACCCATAGAGGATGAAAATAAACACCCGTCACAAAAGAGAAGTGAAGTTGAAAGCATCATCGCTAAATCTTTGATGGATAAAGTTTGAATTGAGGTTTTACTCGAAGTGGTAGAGAAATACCTGATAGCAGGTCAAATCCGCTCCAATGCTTGAAATCCAAATCGTCCAAGATATGATAACACCAGCGCAGAGGTTGGAATTCGTGGAAAAATGTCATCACACAGAGGCGGACAGTGGTTAATCTTTGTTCACTAAAGAGTATTTGAAAACTCAGATCCGTACCTTTGTTATTTCTCTGTTCTTAGCTTTGAGGAAGATTCACTTTCCACTTTCCCTTTCTAGATTAGCGTTTTTGTTGTCATTTCTATTTTTTATTTTTTATTATTTTGTCTTGGGCTTATTGCAGGTCTGGATTGGCTTTTCCTTTTGATGTAGATGTGTCATTTTTTTATTATTATTCTTAATAAGTCATAGCCTTGTAAGGTCATTTATATTATTTTTTTAAATACTAGTGCGCGCTTCCTTTGATTCAATCAACTCCATTTCAATCTTTTATTTACCCATGTTGGTCCTCTTTTCCATCACAACAGAGCATAAGAAGATGTTTTTGTTGAATAAGTTGGGCAACTTTGACAGGAACGCCAATGTAATTTATAATTGGTCCAAAAGTCTATTTGTCACGTGCATTGTCACATTTTTTTTTTCTTCATATTATGAGTTTATTTGTCACGTGTATTGTCACATTATTTAATGTTTTCATATTATAAGTCTATTTTTCACGTGTATTATCACATTATTTAATGTATTTATATTATAAGTCTATATGTCGTGTGTATTTTCACGTTTACTTAATATTTTCATACTATGTGAATCTATTACTAGATCTACATATATAATGTTATATCGGGAGGAAAGCCTTCAAACAACATAAACTTATATATGTGTGACCTTTAGGTCATTAGTTCGAGCCATGGAAGAAGTCATTAATGTTGGCAATAATGTGGTCTATTTACATCACACCCCTTGGGGTGTGGCCTTCCCCTAACCCTGCTAACAGGGAAAGCTTTGTGCACCAATCTTCTATTGTTTTTTTATAAAATGTTAATCCTCTACTATGAATGACAAGGAAATATTCCAAATAACTAATTCAATTTTTCATTTACATGTACAGTTTCTCCTAATATGATTCAATAAAAAAAATCTCAAGAACTATAGCTCCTTAAAACCATAGAAAATGATTTTTTACACTTCTAATTAATACACCCTCATTTCAATTTGTTTGTCCTAATTTTCTTTAAGTCCATTTAAAAACAGAATGTCTCTTTTCTATTTCAACAACTCTTTATTTTTAACTTTCCACATGACATATTTAAGACCAGAAGATTAAATGGTATTTTGATCTATTTGACATATCTTGATTCAAAAGTTTTCTTTAATTATAAAAACTTCATGCGAAGTCAAAATAGGAAAAAAAATTGAGACTAAAGGAATATCATTTATCGTTACTTTTAAACCTTGATTATCTTATTTGAAGTTATTGAACTAATTACTTTCCTTTTGACATCATATTTATCACATTTTGTGTTACTTCCAAGATTTCATGTGGTGTACACAAGGATGATCAAGGACATATGCGATGAAGTCAAGACTGGGGTAAGGACAATAAGGGGTTACTTACAACACTCCCTATGTGATGTGGCCGCACTAGGATAAACTCTTAGCATGTTTTTCATTTAATATATCCCTCACATCACCTTGTTATTTTTCAATATCGCTAGTACCTTTCAAAGCAACTTCGATCATATCATTTGTTTGTTTTTCATTTTGATTTCTTCTCGATATCAAAGGACATCTAAATTCATAATGACCTACACTCATGACCTACACCCCTCCTTTTTTCATTTAATATTTCTCTCACATCATCTTGTTATTTTTCAATACGCTAGTACCTTCAAAGAAACTTCGACGATACCATTAGTTTGTTTGTCATTTTGATTTCATCTAGAGATAAAAGGACATCAAACTTCATGATGTCCTTGGTGCTTACAATAATTGCAATACAAAGGCAAATTATCATATACAATCTTCTGGAAAACCTCGATCAATTTACTAGATTTTCCATTCACAAATGTAGCCTTATACATTTTGGAAGCTAATCTATTATAAAGTATAACCTTAACCCTAACCGTGCTAGACCTTGACTTGATTTGAGTCGCTTTAACTATAAATTTTGTTTTCCCAACAAATGATGCTATAGACCTAGACACCATTCCTCTACCTGCTAACTTTCTACACTAATTTGTGTATTGCATAATCTCATATCTAAGGTTGCGTCCTTGGTTAGCTACACCTGCATAATGTCTTGTATAATAACTTTTCTTCAATGTTTCTTCGACCTACCTGTATCTCTCCTAAGAATATCCATAGCCAACCTCTCACACCTCTCCACTGCTATTCATGCATCTCCTTTTTCCTATGTTCGAAATTTCTCTGTCTTATTGCTCCCATCCTATCCACTACCACAATCACTCCTTCCTTATCCCATCGATCCTTATTTTTAATCTTATCTTTCTTAGTATGAATATAGATCCACCACAATATACCTATTTTCAAAACATTCATCCTCTAAACATGAGAGTTCTTGATTAGACAACACTCCACCTTATACAACATAGTTTGTCTAACCATCAGTCTATACTTACCTTTATGTTTTGGTGGCACCTTTTTAATTATCACATCCATACTCTCGATACAAGCCTCCATTTTATCAACTCTGCGCCAATGTGTTGTGTGACTTCATCAATCTCCTTGTTTTCTTGGATAATAGACCCAAAATACTTGGGATTTTCTATATTTTGGATGAGTTGTGCATCAAGCCTCACTCCACACCAGCCTCAGATGTTACATCATTGAATTTACACTCCAATTGTTCTAGCTTTGTCCTACTCAACCTAAACCCTTTAGACTTCAGGGTTCATTTCCTAACCTCCATCTTAACATTAATTTCATTACAATTCTAGTCAATTAGAATGATGTCATCTACAAGTAATATATACCATGACGCCTCACCTTGGATTCTCCGTGTCAATTCATCTATCAGAAATGCAAATCAAAATAGGCTAAGTGTTGATCCTAGTATGGCCCCATCACTTAGAAACTTCTCTAAGTATCCTCCTATTGTCTTTACCCGAGTCTTCACTTCATCGTACATGTCTTTGACCGCCTAGTGTACACCACCAGAAATCATGGAAATAACATAAAGAGTGATAAATATGATGTCAAAAAGGGAAGTAATTAGTTCTGTAATTTTAATCAAGCTAATCAATTTCTTATGGTCTTAAATTAAAGATATGTCAAATATACCAAAATATTATTTAATCCTCTAGTCTTAAAAATGTCATGTGGAAAGATAAAAATAAAGATTATCAAAAAAGAAAATAGACATTATTTTTTAAACGGACATAAAAGAAAAAGTAAGACAAACAAATTGAAATAGATAGTGTATTGATTAAAAATAAAGATTATCAAAAAAGAAAATAGACATTATTTTTTAAACGGACATAAAAGAAAAAGTAGGACAAACAAATTGAAACAGATAGTGTATTGATTAGAGGTGTAAGATCATTTTCTATGTTTTTATTGAGCTAAAGTTGTTGAGATTTTTTTCTTGAATCATATTAGGAGAAACTGTACGTTTAAATGAAAAATTAAACTAGTAATTTGACATATTTCCTTTTCATTCGTAGTATAGAATTAACATTATATAAAAAAACGATAGTAGTTTTTCGCACAAAGCATTCCATGATAGCGGGGTTTGAGGGAAGGCCACACCCCAAGGGGTGTGATGTAAATAGACTACGCTAGTGCCAGCAATAATGACTTCTTCCATGGCTCAAACCAGTGACCTATAGGTCACACATATATAACTTTATGTTGTTTCAAGGCTCTCTTCCCGAAGAACTTTATATATGTAAATCTAGTAATAGATTCAGAGAAAATGATCAAAATGGTCCTTCATGTATGAGGGTTACTTTATGTTGATCCTTAATATATTCCACATGATCCATATGATCCTTAATGTATTATAAAAGAGGATCATTTTGGTCCTTAGCCCTAAAAATTAACTGAAAACAGAAAAAATGTTAAACTTAACTGTGGGTCCCACAGTTGGGAGCCTTCTTCCTCCATCTTTCTTGCACAGTTCTTCTCCTTCATCTTTTTTTTTTCATTTCTTCTACAACTTGTGCTACCAAAATCTTCTCATGCACAGAAAAGTTTCTTCAAATTTCAAAAGAATATTTGTAAGATATTTGTTTTCTACATCTATCTGTTCAATTTTACCCTTTAATTTTAAAAATAGAATTAAAAATGGCTTGAAAAAATTAGTAATTTTGAAAAGAATAAAACAAAGAAAGCTATATCCTCCCCATAAATCACTTCGACAAGAAAGAATAACTAGTTACAATTTTAAAAGAGTTAATTTATGGTGATCTCCTGGAAGGAGAAATTGAGTCTTTAATTTGATTTACTTAGTTTACATTTGTTTTAATGATTTTGGTTCTCTTATTCTTCTTTATGAATGATAATGGAAGCTTCTGAAAATTTTGTTTAGATGGAGATGAGAAATAGGTGTAGTGTGTATTATTTTTCTTATGAGGATATAGAGCATGACCTCAAATGGCAAAAGAAAAAAGTTGAGGAGAAGGGTTTACGGTGGTGATGGTGATGGTGAAAGAAAGTAAATCTGTTAAATCTAACAGGCTTTTTTTTTTGGTTAGTTTTAGGGTTAAAGGACTAAAATAATCATCTTTTCATATACATTAAGGACCATATGGATCATATGAAATATATTAAGGATCTACATAAAGCAACATTCATACATGAAGGACCATTTTGATAATTTTCTCAATAGATTCACCTAGTATTAAAATACTATATCAACGTGAAATTACCCATGACAGATATACTTATAATATAAAAATATTAAATAATGTGATAATACACATGACAAATGGACTCACAATATGAAAATATTAAATAATGTGACAATAAATGTGACAAATAAACTCATAATATGAAAATATTAAATAATGTGACAATACATGTGACAAATAAACTCTTGGACCTACTATAAATTACCCTAGCGTTCCTATCAAAGTTGTGTTATACCTCATTTTAACCGGGTCAAAAATAGTGTACAACACATTGATGATTCCTAAATTAATTAACTAACTTAAGGAGTCGCCACCTAATTAATTACGGTGAATTCGTGCGCCAAAAATTGTTTAAAGAAATGTCTAAAGCTAACTTCATTTTAAGGTCTACTAAACATAATATTCTAGGTAAGGGTTAAACTAATCTAAATAAAAAGTATTAATCGCCATTTAAGATCCATTACAGACGGCTAACCGACCGAACTTAATTAATTAATTAGGCTAGGTGTAAAAGATTCAAAATTCATGTATAAAGGCTAAATCTCAAGTACCTTTAAAATCATTGCTTGGAAAACACTTCTTATGAAAATTTGTCTTGTTAAAAATGTGTGGATGTAAAATAGTGTTGTAAGAATTAAACTTGTTTGTTGGAGAAATAATGATGCCTTGAATCCACTTGAAGTTGATAAGAGATAGGATTTGTTTTTTCAATAATTGAAGCATTAGAAGCAGTAAAAGAATATCTAGTGAACTTAACTAGATTTAGGACTTGGATAAATTCAAGAACATACAAGTTAAAGAATAAATTTCAAAATAAAATCTGAAAATCTAAACCAAAAAGAGTTGGGCAAAAACGTTTTTGTGGTTTGTTGTTAACTACAAGAAAATTTTGATGAGGAACATTTCTATCTTAAGTATGTTGGTTTCTTATGTTTTAAAAATAAAGGCTCTCTTTTAAGTGATAAAAGTATGTATTCATAGCTACTGTATATTAAGCGTAATTATTTTATCTTATAATATAGTTACTACTTTTTAGTATCTTTAGAAGACTCCTCCTATTGTAGGAGTTTAATGTTGTTGTACATTTGTAGAAGAGTCCTCTAACGGTTTAGGAGTTTTGGCAGCAAAGCTTCCTTAAGTTTAGCTACAGGTTGTTGTTATTGGTTATATTTAACGCTTGGATGTTGAAGGAATAAAATCATCTTTCGACTACTTTTGTCTATCAGATTTTACATGGTATCAGAGCCTCTAGCCTCTTACGAGTCAGATCTTTTTTGTTTTCTCTTCCCATCTATGTCTGCATCTCAAGAACAACCCCTCCTGTTGCTATTAACTCTGGTGATGCTACTTCCACCAACAATAGTGCTTCTGCTGCTTCACCTATAATTCATGTGGTAGAATTCAATCCCGCGTCTCAGTTATTACCTATCAAACTACAAGGTAACCTCAACTTCTCGACTTGGAAAGCGCAACTTGTGATGCTACTCAATGGCCATACACTCATGGGACATCTTGACAGATCAAAACTGTCACCACCAATGACTGTTACCCGAGATAACCTTACGATTCCAGATCCCAGATACCATATATGGTTCTCTCAGGACCAACTGATCCAGCAAGCAGTGATGGCATCTGTCGATCCCACCATTGCGCCTACTGTTGGCACAACTCCATCTTCTAAGACAGCCTGGGAATTTCTTCACGTCTTACGCAAATAAGAGCCACACTAGCATTTTTAGTTTGTGCGACCAACTGGAAAATATTAAGAAAGCCTCTAAATCGGTTACAGAATACTTACAAGAGGTTCGAATTTTTCCTGATACTGTCAAAGTTGTTGGTTCACCAGTACAAGATGACAAACTTATTGTAAAGTTTCAAAGCGGCTTGGGCCCCGAGTATCGTGAGATCTCTGCTTCCGTAAGAGCACGAGACTCTTTCTTGAGTTTTGAAGAATTGTTTCACAAGCTCACAGATCATGAGCTTTTCCTCAAGCACCAAGACCTTGAGAAGTCATCTTCCAATATCATAGCTGCAGTAGAACAGAGGACAAACATGCCAGCCCAGTCTAAAGGACAATCGTCGCTTTAACAATCAACAATGGAACCAATCTACGTTTCGACAGTCCAACTTCAATAATCAGCAAATATGAGATCAAATTCGATACAATTTGTTTGATGCCAATTGTGCCAAAAATTTGGTCACACTGCAGATGTATGCCGTTCCAAATCTCACAATCATTTTGAAGCTAAGGCCAACTTTACCTCTAAATTGCAGTCAATAGACAACTCTTGGTTTCTCGATTCAGGTGCGACTCATCATGTCACGGTTGAACCTCATAATCTTGAAGAGTATACAGGCAATGAGGGAATATCTATGGGTGACGGTAAAACCATTCCTATTACTCATACTGGTTCAACTCAAATACAAGCACCTGATTCTGTTTTCAGGCTTTCTAAGACTCTATGTGCTCCATTAATTAAAGGGAAAAGGGTCTGATATACCCCTCAACTTTGTCATTTAGAGCTAATATATCCCTCGTTATGAAAGTGGCTCATATATACCCCTACTTATATACAAATGGCTCACATATACCCTTTTCCTCTAACTAAAATGAAAAAAATTAATTTTTGTTGAATTTTTTATTTTATTTTTTTAAAAAAAATATAGTCCCATATGAGTATATTTATTGATACTCAAACATATTTTTGACTTTTTTTAGTTTCAATGACTAATTTAAATTTTATTATTTTGATGGTCAAATTTTATTTATGTTTTCACTAATATTCTTGTAAAACTTATTATAGATGACCAAATTTGTTTCTTCAAATACAAAAATTAAATTACAATATAGACAAAAAAAAAGTTTTAAATTATAATATAGCCACAAAAAAATAGTTTTAAATTTTTTCTTTACACTAAGGAATGAAAGAAAAAAAAAATAAGAATAAGAAACTCAAATAATTATAATCAAAGAAGTCAAAAAATAATTTATGTATGAAAAAGATTAAAACATACCTTGAACTTTGCTAGAAGAAATATACCCCATAATAATTTTTAAGAAAATTAAAAGTCAAAAATATAAATTTAAAACTAATTTTTTCACTTCCGTTAAATGAAGGGTATGTGTGAGCTCATTTTGTAACGGTAGGGGTATATGCAATGGTGGAGCCAGAACTTTGACAAAGGGGTGTCAAAATATAAAGAAGTAAAATCGTGTAGAAGTCAAGAAGTGTCAATATGTAATATATATACATAAAAAATATTTTTAGTCTAGCTACACAATGTAATTTTTCGACGAAGGGGTGTCGGTCGACACCTCTCAACCTCCACTGGGCATATGTGAGCCGTTTGTATAACGGTAAGGGTATATATGAGTCACTTTCATAACAAGTGACATATCAGCTCCAAATGGCAAAGTTGAGGTGTATATCAGGCCCTTTTCCCTTAATTAAAAAAAAACTTATTTCTATAGCCAAGTTTTGTCAAGACAATCTCACATCTATTGAATTTTTTCCTTTTACTTTTCTTGTGAAGGACCTGCATACTTAGAAGCCGCTGGTACAAGGCCGGAATAAGAATAGGCTCTATGAATGGCCGTATCTGCCAACAAGACCACCAATATCCATTAATCTCACCTCCACAAAGGTTCCTTTTCAGCTATGGCATAGTCGCTTGGTTCATCCTCAATCGAAGATTTTAAACTTTGTTTTGAAAAAAATTTCTTTACCTGTTGCTACTACAGTGAAATTTGAATTTTGTAATGCTTGTTCTTCTAATAAAGCACATCGTTTGCCATTTCAACTACTCACTTTATCCAGTAATGTACCTCTTCAGGTCATCTTTAGCGATTTATGGGGACCATCCCCCATTTTATCACTAGAAAAAATTTATATTACTGTATCTTTGTTGATCAATACACCAAGTATACTTTGTTGTCTACACTTAAAAATAAAAGTGAAGTCGCCTCTTTGTTCCAAACCATTCGTCCTTTGGCAGAGAATTTTTCAAAAAAAAATTAAATCTCCTTATATTGATGGAGGGGGTGAATAAAATAATCTTTAGTCCTATCTTCAACAAAATGGCATTGAACATTTAGTTTCACCTCCCTACACGCCACAACGCGTTGCCATAGCTGAACGTCGTTATCGTCATTTTGTTGAAACAGCCAAAACACTTCTCCATGAGGCTTCCCTACCACCAGACCTATGGTCTTTTATCTGCCATCATGTTGTTTATCTCATTAATCGGCTACCCGCTCCCATCTTACATAACGCGTCACCCTACCAACAATTATTTGGTAAACCACCCAACTATGCCATCTTAAAATTTTTGGTTGTCTCTTTTATCCATGGCTTAAACCCTATGCCAAAGATAAGTTGGAGCCTAAGTCCACCCCTTGTTTGTTATTAGGTATTTCTCCGATCCATCATGCATACCTCTGCTTTGACCCAATGCGGTAAAAAATATTCATAAGTCGTGATGTTCTCTTTTATGAAAAAAAATTCCTTTTAAAACGATGTTTCTACATATAAGGAAAAACTTTTCTAAACTGACCTGGGGAGATGTTAACTCCAAGGAGGAAACTCTAAAGTCGGTTCCTATTCAAACTCCCTCTCATGATATACCACCACCTATACCACTGTCCTTAGAATCCCTTTACCTAGATCATCAGGATACTCACTCCTTCAATTCTTGCTAGGTACCAGCAGCTACTGCAACTGATCCAGGTAATTCTAAACTTTCTTCTACTTCTTCACAGCATCACAAAACCTCAAACACACAGCCTACACCTTTGATAACATATCAACGACGTAAATCTAACATTACCATTCCACACCAAATCCCAAGTGCTCCCTCTCCAGCCACTAATTCACCATTGTCAATTTCTTCACTTCTTGGAAGCAAAAGTCCCATCCCCGAACACCATTTCATGCCAATTCCAGAGACTGCACCAAATCGAATAACCACTAGGTCCCATAATAATATTACCAAGCCCAAAAGACATTTCAGTTTTATAACTCACTTCACTCCTACACCAAAAACCTTCAAACAAGCTACCATCCATGAAGAGTGGAAACAAGCTATGAAAGCATAATATGATTCTTTAAAGAAGAATCTGACTTGGGAATTGGTACCACGAGACTCAACGAAGAATGTTTTGGACTGCAAATGGTTGTATCATATTAAACAAAAAGCAGACGGTTCTATAGATCGATACAAAACTCGCCTTGATGTAAAAGGGTTCACGCAGCGCCCTGGCTTGGATTTTCATGAGACCCTTAGTCCTATTATCAAGCCAACACCAGTGTGACTTGTGTTATTCATAGGAGTGCAGCACAATTGGTCGATTCATCAACTTGACGTCAACAATACTTTCCTGCAGGGCCAGTTGACTGAAGAGGTTTTTATGTCTCAGCCTCAAGGATTTGTTAACTGACAATTCCATTCTCATGTTTGCAGATTAAAAAGATCCATTTATTGACTTAAACATGCAACGCGATCTTGGTATACTGCATTGCAATCATCTACAGAAAATGGGATTTATTAAGTCTGAATCTAACACCTCTTTTTTCACTTTGAAGAATATGGTGTCTACTGTCTATGTGCTCGTCTATGTTGACGACATTTTGATCACGGGAAGTCATCCCGGCTTGATTAGACATTTTATTGATTCCTTGGGTTCATGGTTTTTCTTTGAAGGATCTAGGGTATTTAAACTATTTTTTGGGTGTCGAGGTTAAAAAAGAGTCAGGTGGTCTTCTTCTCACTCAATCAAAATACATTCTTGATATTCTGTCTGAACTGGATATGCAAGATTGTAAAAGAGTCCTGACACCAATTTGCTCTGGTAAAATGCCTCGAGCAGTTGATGGTTCTCCACCTGCTAATGCCACCCTCTACAGGCGCACTCTCAGTAAGTTTCAATATTTATCATTCACACGGCCTGACATTTCTTATGCTGTCAACAAACTATCACATTTTATGCATGATCCTACTAATGAACACTGGAAGGCGGTTAAAAGGATACTACAGTATCTCAAAGCCACAACAACTTCAGGTCTTCATATTCTTCAAAACTCATACTGCAATCTTTCCATGTACGCTGATGCTGATTAGGCGGGAGACTCGGATAATAGAATATCCACATCAAGCTATGTTCTTTTCTTTGGGTGCAATCCTGCGAGTTGGTCGTCAAAAAAGCAACAAGTTGTAGCTCGGTCATCTACTGAAGCAGAATACAAATCAGTTGCAAATGCTCTGTCCAAACTCACATGGGTGCGCAACTTGCTCAATGAATTGTGTATCATCATTCAAAATATACCCACAATATTTTGTGACAATGTAGGTGTCACTATCTCGGTAAGAATACAGTGTTTCATAGCCGTATGAAACATATTGTTGTGGACTTTTGTTATGTTAGGAACCAAGTTCAAGCACATCGAGTTCTTGTAAAACACACTCATGCTTGTGATCAACTTGCTGATACATTTACCAAGGCATTACCAACACTAGCCTTTGCAAGGTGTGGTTCCAACTTAGGTGTTGTTGGACCACACTTAACTTGAGGGTGTCTATTAAGCATAATTATTTTATCTTATAATAAGTTACTGTTATAGTTAATGCTTTTTAGTATCTTTAGAAGACTCCTCATATTGGAGGAGTTTAATATTGTTGTATATTTATCAAAGAGTCCTCCAACGGTTAAGGAGTTTATGCAACAATTAGATTCCTTAAGTTTAGCTACAGGTTGTTGTTATTGGTTTTATTTAATGCTTGGATGTTGAAGGAATAAAATCATCTTTCGACTACTTCTGTTTATGAGATTTTATACTGTATGGGGTCAAAGAAAATTCTTACATATCAGGGTACACATAAATACAGATAAAAACATTAATAACATAGACACAATTAAATAAAACAAGCTGAGATAAATGAGGTAATTAATAGTTATGCTCGGCTTTAAGAGAAGGAAAGAATCTCATTTGTTATTCGACAACTGAACAATATGAAGCGGGAAAGAGTAAGGTTGTACAGACTCCATGTATAGGATATGCAAGCTCCATGCGGTAATAGTGTCGTTGAGTCTCAAAATGAGACTCATCGGCTCCAATTTTCATATCAAATAAACATGAGAAAAGAGTTAGATAAGGAAATTTGATTATTGATACAGTCTAAAAGAGGATAACAGTCATTTGAAAATTATATTAATCATCCCTAGGAACATGTTACATTCTCATTTAAACCAAACTGGATATTTTACGTACTTGGCACAAACTAAGTACTATATAAAAAACATCCCCCATAAATATATATCTCTAAAAATAATGCAACAAAGAGCAAATAGGATTCTTGTTTCACTATTATATATTATATCAAATCATAGATTAGCATGTGCTAGTAAATACAGTTTATCTAATTCATAACCAAAGTAGTCATTTTATCATTTTTTAAAGAAAAAATTAGTATGGGGTAGTTTTAAATCCAGCAGAACATAGAGTTGTACATGATAACTCCATTTATATGATTAAAATCAGATTTTTCATGACTAAAGACAGATTATCATATCACAGCAATACCCACAATCTATTAAGACTTGGACTATTTTTACTTTTATTATTCTATTTCTTATGTTATGAGAGATAAGTGACTTGTATGGAGTCCTTCAGGGTTCTATACGCCATGTTACATCTAGGGCGTACTCCTGGGTCGTGACAAGAGGGAAAGAGATAAGGATATTGGGACATCATATCGGCATTGGTCTCCCAAGTGGCACCCTCAACCATTTGATTCCTCCACAACACCTTTACAAATGCAACTTCCTTGTTTCTCAACTTTCTAACTTCCTGGTCCAAAATCTCAACCGGAACTTCTTCATATGAAAGGATTTTCTTTATACCAAGACTCTTTAATGGTATTATAGATGTCGGATCACTGATACATTTCTTCAATAAAGGTACATGGAATACCAGATTCAGCAATGATAAATCGGAGGGCAAGTTTAATTGATAAGCCATCATGCCTATCCACCAAAACACCTGATAAGGACCAACATAATGGGGACTAAGCTTCCCTTTATTACCAAACTTTATTACACCCTTCATACGTGAAATTTTCAAGTATATCCAATCATCAATATCAAACTCACGATCTCTTATTCTAACATTGACATAGGACTTTTGTTGACTTTGAACCATTTTTAACCTTTCTATAATAAGCTGAACTTTCTCCAAAGCATGATGTACCCACTTGGGACCTATCAAAGACACCTCAAACCAACCTCTAGGGGATCTACACCTTGTACCATAAAGATCTTCAAACGAAGTCATACCAATACTTGAGTGATAGCTATTATTATATGCAAACTCAATCAACGACAATTGATCATACCAATTACCCTTTAAATAAATTACACAAGCTCTTAAAATATCATCCAAAGTTTATATAATACACTCCACTTGTTCATCTGTTTGAGGATGAAAGGACGTACTAAGCTTGACACAAGTACCAAGACCTTTTTGGCAAGACTTCCAAAATTGAGAAGTGAATTGGGTACCATAGTTGGAGATAGTGGATAGGGGAACCCTATGCAACCTAACCATTTCCCTAAGATACAAATTAGCATAATCTTTAATCAAATATGAAAACTTGACGGGAATGAAATAAGCCAACTTCGTCATACGATCCAAATCGAGTCATATTGCCTCCAGGTGCGGGGTAAACTAACGATAAAGTCCATATTCAAGTCTTCCTACTTCCAAGTAGGAACGCTAATGTCTTGCGACAAACCACCCGGGTTTTGGTGCTCAACTAACACTTGGTGACAATTATGACACTTAGCCAAAAACTCCAGAATATCCTTCTTCATCCTATTCCACCAATAGATCTCCCGCAAGTTATGGTACATCTTAATGGATTCCGAATGAATGGAATATCACAAACAATGAGCTTCCAATAAAATTTTATCTTGAAAATCATCAACATTGTAAACACACAAACAACATTGATATGGAAACACACAATCTCCCCCTTGAGAAAAAGCCTAAACGCACCACTTCCTTCAACTCAACCAAAATTGGATCAAGACTTTTCTTAGCTTTTACATTCATTACAAAAGATGATGTTAAACCATTTTGGACAACTATGCCACCTTCATTAGAATCAACCAACCGAACACCCAATCAGGCCAATCTATGAACATCACGTACCAACTCCTTATTCTTATCTTCCTCAACATTTAATACACTACCCATTGATAGCTGACTAAGATAATTTGCTGCTACATTGCCCTTATTGGGGTGATAGTGGACACTTAGGTCGTAACCCTTTAGCAACTAAAGCCACCTCCTTTGGCAAAGATTTAGATCTTTTTGCTTGAATACATAGTGCAAACTTTTGTGGTCAGTAAAAACATTAACATGGACCCTATACAAATATTGCCTCCAAATCTTTAAGGCAAAAACAACTGCCGCTAATTCCAAATCATGGGTAGGATAGTTATTTTTGTGAATCTTAAGTTGTCTTGAAGCATAATCAATAACTATCCCATTTTGCATAACAACACACCCAAATCCAAATATTGAAGAACCACAATAAATAACGAACCTATCGGATCCTTATAGTAAAGTAAACCCGGAGCAGAGGTAAGCCTATATTTCAACTCTTGAAAACTCTTCTCACATGCTTCTGACCATAAGAGGTAAGCCTTACAGTAAAGTAAACCCCGAAGTCATTATGCACACTACTTCTTATTCGCCTTCTGAGCCATAAAAGATGGAAAAGTATACTTTCAAGATCAGTGATCAGAACTCCAACAGACGATTCACCGAAGTGTACTAAGTGAAATCCATTGGGTCCACTGAATTAGCCTTCTGGTTTTGTATTTGTTTAGGAAAGTTCGGCGAGCTTAATCCCTAGTTGGTAATTTTCCAAACACGTTTGGCGACATTAGTCAGGATTACCAAATGGGCCTGATATAAAAAGGACAATGGTCTTTTAAAATTTAAAATTCTATATCTTTGAAATGTGAGAGCTTTTTTTATTCCTTTTCCTGCACTGGTGCATTTTGAGTGTTTGTGAGCCTCGTGTGAGCATATTAAAGGTGCTAGGAGTGCATTTGGTATGATTTCGTGTCAACCCAACCTTGATCCTTTTATTTCTTTATTATTTTTGGCTTTATGGTTGGTGTTTCGACCTCTTGTTGTTATTTTTGAGTTTAGAAAGCATATAGGGTGTGGGCTTGAGCCTTTAAAGAGTGTTTGAGAGCCTAATTGCAATAGGTAGAAACATATTGTTGAGACTGAACTGTGCCTCTATGATTTTAACTATAATGCTTATCAAATTGATGAATCATGATTGTGTTGGTTAAATTTTTTAATTGAATTGGTTAAGTTGTTGGGTTCGAGCCTAATTTTATGTGAGTGAAGTATGAGTAGCTCAGACTACCCAATTGCATGATTTTGACCAATAATAGACAGGATGACTACTTTCTTAAGGGGAAATCATCAATTAGTGCAATACTTAATGATAAATTGGGGAAATCTGAGTACACATGGGTAGAGAAGCATATAGGTGGATTGTCATATTAGGGGAAACTAGTATTTTTTGTGTGTGTTGGTTTTTCTGTGAAAATTCAGTGGGCTGAAACTTCCTATTCGGTGAGCTTGTCTTAGTTCACCAAGGGAGTTAGGCAAATCATCGAGTAAGAACTGGATTGCCTTTATTAACATGCACATGACCTTAGGTATTGTCCCATTCAGCAGGCTTGTCTTAGTCCACCGAGCCCACTTGGTGAATCACCGAGAGAGAGAGGATATCACTTTTGATGCTTGTCACTTTCCCTTTTGTACTGTTAGTTTCGATGGACTTGTCTTAGTTCACCGAAACCAACTCAGTGAATAATCAAGTTAGAACTGACATAAACTTTTGTGCCTGAGCTTGGATAAATTGATACTGTCTGATTCACGAGCTCACCGATCCTATTTGGCACATCGCCTTCCTCTTAGGCGAGCTTCATGATTATTTTTTAAACATGTTTCAATTTGCATTTGAATTCAACTAACCTTCACAAATTCATTATTTGAATGTGTCCTTTGTAGGTAATGGCAAGAACAAAAGGC